GTATACTCGGTGAGATATACCCACCCAGATATATATGTATTTATATAAATGTCATATATTTCTGGATACATATATTTCCCGTTGTATTTCATTAATTTAAATACTTGTCGCCGTTCCGTTACACCATCCACAAACATCTATTGTTTGTTAGATTCGTTCGGAATATCGTCCCACTTAGTATTACGTGCATTAACCGCGACAAGTACGTGTATAAAACGACACGGTGGTAGCATTGTCATGTACGTTAGCATTGGCAGTGGCCAAAGACCACGAGTTTGTGCATCAGACGAGTGAGAGAGAGGAACGACTGGACCAATTTATGTCACGTCTACATACAGTCCAACAGTCAGAGACTAATGTTCCCTCATTGTTTTCATGTGTAACAATAGAAAGCCCTCTCGACTCGTGAGGAGGAATTGAATTTTTCCCGCCACTGGGTGGTGATTAATGTTCCCCACCGAGAAAAGCGTAATAAACGTCAGACTCCGGCGTCAAATCCACGCATTACCGAAATTCCACTGATCAAAATCAACTCATTAATATTCAATAACAATATTCAATCGACCCAGAGTCATTGCCCCTCCGGATGCTGACAATTTGCCATTTGATGCCTTCAATCATCATTTAACCAGGAAAAAAAAATGCGCAAACATGGGATTCGCAATGTGATTACGGAGTGGCCCCTAATGGCTGATTGTAACAATGGAATACTAGAAGGGGAATTTAATTCTACCAATCACCGGATGGTGATTAATGTCTTGATAGAAATCTGATGAGCATCAGCTCAACTTATTATCAAAATTCCATTGACGAAGAAGATCTTCTTATTTTTATTGGAAGCCAGATTAATAAATGAGTGAAACGTTTATGGAAGAGCGATTGAATTATATTTTATTGAGATTCACACTTCATGCTCACACTTTGAGAGTATTCGGCGAACTGACGAGATTTTCAAGCTGTCGGTCATTCCATGATCGTAATTTTTTGGGGGAATTCAGTGGCTGCGTAAAAAGCTCATTGCGATTGGAGATTGAATGAAGGAAAAAGTGCGTTAACATGGGATTCGCAATGCGATTACGATGGTCGCGGATGGTTGATCCCCTGATTCTTCCGTCCACGGAGGCACGGCCTGTCGGCATTGGGGAATACAGAAACCACCGCTTCAGCTCCCGCCCGGTGTTCTCGTGTTCCCCGACGTCAGTCTACGCCAGACTGCGGTGCGAGACAGTTCACCAGAGCTGCACATCCCATACTAACCCATCACAACAAATAATAAACACCGGCGATAATCACTCATCTAATTTTCTCCCATAAAAAAAAAAACAACTATTCGAAGTGAACGCCAATCCCTCTATCTCATTTGCAATAAATAATTTTGTTGATTGCATTGATGGAGCGAACGAACGACCGGATGATACAGCTGATAACGGACACATGACGATTGAAAGACATGCCGGGAAAACAGTGAATTATCTGTTGGAGTCTGGATGAATTATTGTTCGATTTATTTATTTGGAGAATCGGCGGAAAATCGGTGGAGGTGGTGGATCGATTGACGAAATTGACGAGAAGAAATCGAGTGAATCTCAAGTTGGAGAAAATGATTGTGGTATTACCCGGGAAAGTCGGCTGTTAGTAATTGCGGGGACAATGTCCATTTTCTCCCTCCATGCGGTAATGATAAAAGTTGGGTGGTGATTGGAATAGTTATCTTTAGTCGATGCTAATTCATTGTCGACTCACTGGAACTTGTGACTCGATGTATTGGCGAGATATGAGTTTAGACGGAAATTTGTACCTGTAATTTGCAATTTTCACGGGATGTCGGTGAAAAATTGAGGGGAAATCGGTTGCTTCATACAGCTATCAACGGGTATAAAATTGATTGGGATATGATCGTTATTGGAAATTGATGCTGACCAACGGGATTGGTTTAATGTATTCGGTGTAAATAAACTGACAAACGGGGAGAGTTAAGTGGAGGTGAAGTAAAAACTTGGCGACATCATCGGTAATTATCTTCGGGACATTTTCCGTGGCGTTTTTTTTTAGTTATTGAAATTGTGAAATACGTGAGAAAGGATGGAGATTGTGTGTTGCGGCATCGGGAGGAATTGATATTAGTTTGGAGTGGATAGAGGAAACCAAGGACTGTCTGGAATGCCGTGGATAAGGTGTCTAGGAGGCGGGGGTGGCAAGGTACGCCGTGGAAAATCGCCAAGTGTCAGTCAACCCGTTCATCTTCTGGTTAAGGTTCGTCGAAAAAACTCAATGGATTTTAATTGAAGCATTTCAACATTTTTTTTTGATATATCAGCCAGGAAAATTTGGAAATTCCATCAATCGACTCAATTCAACGATTGCTACTCTGAAATACAGATTAAAATTGCGGAACGGCGAAACAATTCCGCAATCGTTCGGGATAAATTTCCTCTCTTTTTATTTCTATTTGCATTGAATACTTCTCTTCATGCACGTGAA